AGTATGGGTCACCATACTTGGCCACATGTCACGTCACTTTTCACTTTTTCACTTTTCACTTTTCAATATTACAGCGAGAATAAAAGTTACTCCTTCTTTCTTTGTGTGAACATTTGGGCGGTGTTATGCAAATCTTCGCACATCGTGACGTAGACATGTGGGGGCGTGTTAGAACGAGCCGTTTTAGGTAGGCGTGGTTGACTCTTAACTTTTATAAAGAATATCTCTTTGGATTTGAGACTTTAGTCTTTGCAACTTTACAGATCTTCTTTATGCACCAAGAGCTTGTAACACTCGAAAGAGAAAGGAAAACTTGAAATCGCATCATATGACCCCTTTAACATGTGCTTTATAAGTACTAATAAACAGACAATATGCTAGTAAAATGTATGCTAATAAGCAACTAGTTAATAGTGAGAATTGGTCCTTAAAGGGATAGTTCAACCAAAAATGAAAATTACCCCATGATTTACTCACCCTCAAGGCATCCTAGGTGTATATGACTTTCTTCTTTCACACAAATCCAATTGGAGTTATATTAAAAAATGTCCTGGCTCTTCCAAGCTTTATAATGGCAGTGAATGGGTGTTATTTTTCAATAGTCCAAAAGAAGTCCAATAAAGCACATCCATACTTTATTGCACTTCTTTTGGACTATTGAAAAATAAAATTTCATTTTTGGTTGAACTATCCCTTTAAAATTAAGTGTTACCAAAATTCTCAGAGCATTAAATGGAGAGACCTTAAAAAAGGCCTTTGGTGTTTAAATGCGTCCTGCTATCCCAGAGACAACTAAATGTAAATCCGTTTGTATCTGTCTTTTTATTGTATTTTAAACCACTGCTTCCTCTGTGCCTTTTTTCTGCACAGTGAGCATGATGTGGGAGAGGATGACATATACGACTGTGTCCCTTGCGAGGACGATGGGGACGACATATACGAGGACATCATCAAGGTGGAGGTTAGACAGCCCATGGTGAGTGAGATGCCATACGGACGACGCTCATTGGTGCGTGTGTGAGAGAGGGTATAGATGGATTGTTTTCCTGTCATTTTCCCATGGCTGTGCGCAAGTTCACTTGCTCTGCTTACATTTACTGCTTTGCCTCCTTAATGCTGCAGATCAGATACATGCAGGTAAGTGTCACGCTGAACCGCACATGATTCTCTTATGCTCCTTCAGTGCTCCTCTTTCCTTTCCTTTAAATGTGTGTCGGTACAAGCCCTTCAGCCCTTCACGAATATACAGTATGAAGAACTTGCTGAAAAGTCCCACACTCTCATGACTCTTAATTGAAATTCCATTTATTTAGGAATAGGTGACCAAAAAAATTAGTATTTTGTCATCAGATGTTTTGAGAAATGTTTATGCTGCTATTTTCCATGCAGTGAAAGTATATGATGACCAGATCTTGATAACACCTCAAATCTCATTTACGCATGTTCATATTTAAACTTTCCACATGAAGATGCTTCATGCCAGACCATTGTTTTGCATATGTTTTGTAACTTATCAGGACAGACCAGTTTGAATATGCAGAAACCTGGGGCCCCATTTATAAAATGCACATATGCACATTGGATTTGATCCTGAATACCATTGATTCTATCCTACGTGAAAAGTGAGGAACAAATCAGCATTTATAAAGACAAAAGCTGATTTGAAAATGTTCTTATGTGTACACCAACTGTAGAGCATGTGTACAAACTTTCTGACTCTCATATACTGTACCATTTTAAAGGGGTCCTGAACTGCATTTTTTAATTATTTGATAACGTTTCCTGAGGTGCATTTATAATGTTAGTATGATTTTTACATCAATAATTGTCATAATTTAGAAATAAAAGAACATTTGATTCATTTGATTTGAACATTTGATTTGATCCCTGATTTTAGCCCTCTGATGTGAACACTCTGTTGGAAGGGGCGTGTCCAGTACACAAATCAAGTACTTGAGTAAAAGTACAGATACGTATGATAAAATATTACTCCAGTAAAAGTAAAAGTACTCCTTTTTCAGTTTTACTCGAGTGAAAGTACAAATGTACTCGATTTTTTATGTACTTAAGTAAAAAAATTACTGATAGATAGATTTATTTTGCAATTTTATATAGGCTACTTAATGTAATTTTATATTAGCACATATTTTTTATAATCCTACTGCTCAAAATACCTGGGATTTTCCCAAAATAACCACTATATGGAGTCAAGATATATTTTTGTTGTTGATATGGAATGTTTTATGAAATGTAGTGAAGTAAAAAGTACGATCTTATGCTTTGGAATGTAGTGAAGTAAAAGTAAAAGTTACTCAAAATAAAACTACTCCAGTAAAGTACAGATACTTGAAAATTTTACTTAAGTACAGTAACAAAGTAAAATTACTTCGTTACTGTCCACCACTGGGCGTGTCTGCTGTTAGACTTCAATGGAAACACCCGTTGCTATGATTGGCTAACATCTTTGCATATGAAATAAGTACATGTATAATACTTTTTGCTTTATTACATTTACTATGTTTTTACTATAAAAGCTGTTGAGATTAACTAATCATGGAGAGTGTTGATCATAGGATTATATTTAGATCGACTCCCGTCGCATGAAAGGTTGCAGCGATGTAGCCGATGACAGACTGTTGAACGCATGAATGCAGTGATCTCGTCATTGCAACTCAAGTTTTGCACTTTCACAAATGCTGTCATCATAACTAACAGTGCAAACACAATGTAAATAAGAGATTCATTGTGTGGTGTAGACTGCATAATTAAATATAAACTTGCGCTGTGTGATTGACAGCTACAGCGATTATAAAGGGAGCATTCAATGATCGCTTTCTATATATAATTCAATCACAATTTAAATAACAAATTATTTTCATGCTACTAAGAGAAACAATATTTCGTTGACCGTTAAGTCACTGGCTTGATTTACTGACGCATAAACAGTAATAAATGATTTTGAGACAAAGAACATATGACTGTACACGAATCATTACATATCAGAAAACATTGATCGCAAATTAGGCATTAGAATTAACACGGTTACTTACATGTTGTGGTATTACTGTCAGGTCCATATCTTAGAATAAAAGTTTGTTTGCAAAGTGCCAAAACTGCAACTGGTTAACCAAAGAATCCACAGTGAAATGTACCAAACAAAAAAATAATGCTCTACTGAGACATCCACATAGTTGAAAATAAAAAAGATTGGAAAATCTTAAGTTTGGGATCCTTTGGAAGAAAATGTTATTTTTAGTCCAGTGATCCTGCATTGCTCATCTCTCCTTCTCATCTCACTAATGCTCTAGTGGACGGGCCAAAGACATGATGATGTAGAAGTAGGTGTTGATCTGATTCTGCAGAAGTGGGCTTTCATCGCACTATTACATCATAATGTGACAAAATCTTCTGAAATGAGTCATTTTTTGATCTTGGTTTCAATAAAAGCTGTTTTTGGACTAACAAGGAAGTTTTGAGCTCTGAAACTTACAGGATGTTTTTATAGTACAATGACCTCCTACATGTAAAAACATCAAGGAAAATGTTATTTCTCAATTCGTGACCTCTTTAATTCAGTTAATTCAACATTATGAAAATGTAAAGATAAGCATGCAATTACAATATGCTTTTTAATAATTATATCACTTATATTAATGATTTACTGAAAATAATAATATATGTTCACCACACACGTTGTACAGAAAGTATAAACTATAGTTGACTTCAAAAGACTTGAAATACAGAACACAAGTTGTTTGGACTACTTCTATGGTACTTTTATAGTATTTTTTGTCCTTTTTGTCCTTTGTCCTCAGCGTGAACATTCAGCAAAACATCTGCCTTTGTGTTCCAGGGATGAAAGAAAGGCATTGGTTTGGAACGACATGAGCTTGAGAAAACAATATCAGACTTTCATTTTTGATGAACTGTTCTTTTTAATATTTGGGGTATTTAATTATCCTTTTTAGTATGTGGGGTACAGTGTATTTATTATTCTTTAAGCTACATAATTTTTTCATCGTATTTAAATCCATCTCGCAATATTCATCAAAATAATAGTATTTATTTTATGGCTGGAGCATCTTCCCTTTGCTAGAAATGAGAAAGGAGGGGGAGGCTGACTCAGTGCTAATGCCCGTCTGAGTTTAAAGTGTGTGCTGTCGCACCGAATTAGCTAATGTTAAGTTATTTTAAACCCACGAGGGAGGAAATCCCTCCTGCAGACAGAGAAAACGTCTCGGTTACGTATGGTAACCCTCGTTCCCTGAAGGAGGGAGTCAAGAGTGACCGACTGAAAGGGAACTGCTGGGTCCTGCCTTCACAGAGATACACACAACCACACTCAGATTGAGATGCACAATCTGTATCAGCAGACAGATGCTACAACAAAGACACATCAGACTCTCAAATACTCACAAATACAGCAACTCAAATGAGGGAGAGAAAGAAAACATGGCAGAAAATGAGTGTCAGAGACCAAGACAGAGGTGTTTCTCAACTGTTTTGTTGCGCAGATTATATCTTCTTGATCTTCACTATGTCAGACAATTTCCAGATTTACCACAATGGCCACTGGAGTTTCACATATGCCCTATTATTCAGTGAAAGTCACAGATGTATTTGCCGTTCCCAATCCTGGCTGCTTTCAGTGTTGCTAGGCGGCCCTTTGGAAGGATTTTTTCCATTTAAAAAAATTTTTTTTTTTTTTTTTTACTCTAAAGAAACAATTGTTTGTGATCTTGAATTTCTTTGAATGTGAGCAGGTTTGCTTTGGCCTCGTGCACCAACAGGCCCAGATGTTCAAAAGTGTGTTGTGATGTTCATTCCAGCTCTGACCTTCAGCTGGCGTGCACCTTCCCCAGGCTCCAGCGCTATCGCCACTTTCTTAAACAAGCTTGCAAACCCACTCGCATTACACCACGAGCCAGTGATTACACCTAATCAAATGCATCATGTTCTATTAGATCATTTTCTGTTGTTATTGTTTTGTGAATTGACCTCATTTAGTGCCTCAATCCTCATCAAACCCACATTTATGGCTTTCCTACAGTTGTTTTTTGTGCTTTAGACTTAGACGTGTATGTTGTTTTGAATGAATGAAAGACTAAATTCTTGCTTGAACCTCAGCATTTTAACCTACAGTCCTTGTCAACATTTCCCTTGAGGTTTTGTTGTTAAAGATTCTCTGTCCACCTCTGTCTTTTACTGTAGTGTGCTTTGGCCATCCTTTGTGACCTGAATTCCCTTAAATTACAGTTCGGTACCTTCTGCCGGTGTTTAAAGGTGCTGAGCTAGCATCCTGCAGGACGATACCAACATGGTTTGTGTGTTTTTTTTTCTTTTTCCCATAACAGAAAATGGGCATGACAGAAGATGATAAGAGGAACTGCTGCTTGGTGGAGATTCAGGAGACAGAGGCAAAGTACTACAAGACACTGGAGGACATTGAGAAGGTGAGTGGGAGAGCATAGAGAGTTTTAGAGCTGGAGAGAGTGGAATTGAAGACCTGGAATTGGGTCAAGGTCTTGATAGGGTTCTCCAAGGAAAGTGAGGTAGCTCAAAATAGATGGAGGGAGAGGACAAAAAATGAGAACTGAGCCCTAGGTGACAAGTGTACTTAGGTGGCCTGTTGAATTATTCTGATAAGAATAATTCTGATTATTATTCTGATGTAAGACCTTCGTTCATCTGTAAATGCGCGTTCACGACCGTATCATGACATGAGCGTGTGACGGCGCTGACCCAGAGCCGGCGTAATGATGTCATTATGCCGGATCTGGGTCAGCACTGCCACACGCTCGTGTCATGGTACTGTCGTGAACGGGCGTCCAAAGTGAAGCAGTAGAGACGAAAATGTGAAATAAAATCGATATTTTTGTTTTCTTTGTGCAAAAAAGTATTCTCGTAGCTTCGTAACTTTACAGTTGAACCACTGATGTCACACGGACTACTTTGTCGCAAGGTTATTTTCGTAAACGAAAACTAAAACTAAGACTAAAACGATTGATGAAAAAACAATTTCGTAAACTGAAATAAAATAAAAACGTCAAAATAATTGAAAAACTAAAACGACACTAAACTAACAACTGTGGAGTAAAAAGGTTATAATGTTCTCTTTTGTTGGACAACAGGTTTAGAAATGTGAATACAAGGGAAGTTTAGCTTTAGGCATTTTAATTTAAGCATGTTTTGCTTGGTTAACGGAAGGCTACCTGCTGCCATCAGAGCAAGTGTTATTACTGCATTCACGCGCTACTCGGATGCTCTCATTTCCCGAGTTGTGCTTTTAAGTCGGA